TGTTGTATTTTTTTTTTCTATCAATGCATCTTTTTAGGCTTTTTTTTGTATGCTTTGTGGATGTTCTTTGTGTTTGTCATTGGATGTTATTCATATCCTTGTGATGGAGTTAATATTAATAGAAGCGCATGCTAGGGAGATAACCATAATTTTTCTCTCAATTTTCCGTGCCACATCTATATGAGAAACCATTGTTTTAAATTTTTAGTTCTCCCGCAAGTAAAATTTGATTCATATATTCTTTTGTAGTCATTTGATGATCAATTTTATATCAGCACATGCAAGTTATAGGTGAATATCCAGTCATCTTCTCTTTCTTTGATGATTCTTCTTCTTCTTATTCTTTGTTGAGATGTTCTTTGACATATTTGTGGCATGTAATTGGTGTTGTTATTGATTACTTCTACCAATGTGGTTACCTAGGTAGTGAGTTTTGTGTATATATGTTTTATCAATGATTGTGTTTGTATTTTCATGTGTATAGTTTGTCCATGTTTAAAAATATGTATCAATGTGTGTATGTATTTTTCTTTTATCAATGATTTTTTGTGTGTATGTTTGCATATATACATTCTGTGGGTTTTACTATGTGGTGTATCATTGTATAGTGTATGTGTATATCTTTTAGTGTGTTATGATATGTGTTTTTTATGTGAAGCAATGTGTTTTTATTATGTGTATCTCTATGTGTGCTGTGTACTTTTCTTATATAAATGTATTTGTACACTTTGTGTGTGTTTTTTTGTGTATTAGTGTGCTGTGTATTGTTTCTTCTATCATCTTTTGGTGTGTCCTGTTATGAGCTTTTTATGTGAAACATTGTTTTTTTTGTGTATTAATATGTGTTTTTATTATGTATATCTTTGTGTGTACTGTATATTTTTCTTCTGTCAATGTATTTGTACACTCTATATGTGTTTTTGTGCGTATTAGTGTGCTTTGTATTTTTATTCTATCAATATATCTTTTGGTGTGTTATGGTATATGTTTTTTTTTTGTGAAACAGTTTATTTTTTATGTGTATTAATATGTGTTTTTATTATATGTATCTCTATGTTTACTATGTACTTTTCTTTTATCAATGTATTTGTATCTCTGTGTGTATTGTGTACTTTTCTTTTATCAATATATTTGTACACTTTGTATGTGTTTTTCTATATATTAGTGTGCTCTGTATTTTTTTTTTTTTTATCAATGTATCTTTGTAGACTTGTTTTTGTATGCTTTGTGTATGTTCTTCGTGTTTATTATTGGATGTTATTTCTGTTCTTGTAGTGGAGTGTTAATACTAATGGGAGCGCATACTAGGGAGAAAACCATAATTTTGCTCTCATTTTTTTCACCCAAATCTATATCAGAAACCATAGATTTGAATTTTGAGTTCTCCCACAAGTAAATTTGATTTATATGTTTTTTTGTATTCATTTGGTGATCAATTTATATCAACATATGCAAGTTATAGGTGAATATCTTGCACTTTTCCCTTTTTTTGATGATTATTCTTGTTCTTCATTGAGATGGTCTTTGACATGTTTGTGGTCTGCAATTGGTGGAGTTAATGATTACTTGTACATACATGGTTATCTAGGTAGTGAGTTTTGTGTGTATATATTTTATGTTTTATCATGATAGTGTTTGTATTTTCATATGTATAATTTGTCTGTGTTTAAAAATGTGTATCAGTGTTTGGTATGTATTTTTCTTTTATCAATGATTTCTTGCGTGTATGTTTTCATATTTACACTCTGTGGGTTTTACTATATGGTGTATTGTTGTATTATGTGTGTGTATATCTTTTGGTGTGTTATGGTGCGTGCTTTTTATGTGAAACAATGTATTTTTATTATGTTTATCATTGTGTGTACTGTATATTATATCAATGTATTTGTACACTTTGTTTTTTTTTTTTTTTTTTTTTGTATTAGTGTGTTGTGTATTTTTCTTCTATTAATGCATCTTTTGGTGTGTTATGATATGTGATTTTTATGTAAAACAATGTGTTTTTTGTGTATTAATATGTGTTTTATTATGTGTATAGTTGTGTGTACAGTACTTTTCTTCTGTCAATGTATTTGTACACTTTGTATTTGTTTTTTTGTATATTAGTGTGCTGTATATTTTTCTTCTCTCAATGCATCTTTTGGTGTGTTATGGTATGTGTTTTTTATGTGAAACAGTTTATTTTTTGTGTATTAATATGTGTTTTTATTATGTGTCTCTGTGTATGCTATGTACTTTTCTTTTATCAATGTATTTGTACACTTTGTATGTGTTTTTCTATGTATTAGTGTGTTGTGTATTTTTTTTTTCTATCAATGCATCTTTGTAGGCTTGTTTTTTTTATGCTTTGTGTATGTTCTTTGTGATTATCTTTGGATATTATTTATGTCCTTGTAGTGGGGTTAATATTAATAGAAGCGCATACTAGGGAGAAAACTATAGTTTTGCTCTCTTTTTTCAAAGCCAAAGCTTCATCATAAACTATAGATTTGAATTTTGAGTTCTTCCGCAAGTAAAATTTGATTTATATGTTCTTTTGTATTCATTTGGTGATCAATTTATATCAACACATGCAAGTTATAGGTGAATATGCTACTCTCTTCCCCTTTTTCGATAGTTCTTTGTCTTCGTTAAGATGTTTGTGGTTTGCAATTGGTGGAGTTAATGATTACTTGTATATACATTGTTACCTAGGTAGTGAGTTTTGTTTGTATATGTTTTATGTTTTATCAATGATTGTGTTTGAATTTTCATGTATATAGTTTATTTGTGTTTAAAAATGTGTATCAGTGTGTGGTATGTATTTTTCTTTTATCAATGATTTTTTGTGTGTTTGTTTTCATATCTACACTTTGTGGGTCTTACTATGCGGTGTATCGTTGTATAATGTGTGTGTATATCTTTTGGTGTGTTATGGTATTTGCTTTTTGTGTGAAACAATGTGTTTCTATTATGTGTTTCCCTGTGTGTACTGTGTACTTTTCTTTTATCAATGTATTTGTACACTTTGTGTGTGTTTTTTTGTATATTAGTGTGCTGTGTATTTTTCTTCTATCAATGCATCTTTTGGTGTGTTATGATATGCACTTTTTATGTGAAACAATGTATTTTTTTGTATGTTAGTGATTTGTGTATGCTTCTGTCAATGCATCTTTTGGTGTGTTATGGTATATGCTTTTTATGTTAAACAATTTATTTTTTATGTGTATTTATATGTGTTTTTATTAGGTGTATCTCTGTGTTACTGTGTACTTTTCTTTTATCAATGTATTTGTACACTTTGTGTGTGTTTTTCTATGTATTAGTGCATTGTGTATTTTTCTTCTATCAATGCATCTTTGTAAGCTTGTTTTGTATGCTTTGTGTGTGCGCTTCGTGTTTATCATTGGATGTTATTTATGTCCTTGTAGTGGAGTTAATATTAATAGGAGCACGGACTAGGGAGAAAACCATATTTTGCTCTCATTTTTTTCATTCAAATCTATATCAAAAATTATAGATTTGAATTTTGAGTTCTTCTGCAAGTAAAATTTTATTTATATGTTCTTTTCTATTCTTTTGGTGATCAATTTATATCAATATATGCAAGTTATTGGTGAATATTTTGCTCTTTTCTTATTTTTCAATGATTAATTTTCTTCTTCGATGAGATGTTCTTTAACATGTTTGTGGTCTACAATTGGTGGAGTTCATGATTACTTGTACATACATGGTTACCTTTTTTTTTTGGTCATACATGGTTACCTAGGTAGTGAGTTTTGTGTTTAGATGTTTTATGTTTTATCGATGATTGTGTTTGTATTTTCATGTGTATAGTTTGTCCGTGTTTAAAAATGTGTACCGGTGTATGGTATGTATTTTTCTTTTATAAATGATTTTTTGTGTGTATGTTCTCATATCTACACTCCGTGTGTTTTATTATGTGGTGTATCATTATATAGTATGTGTATATCTTTTGGTATGTTATGAGATGTGTTTTTTGTGTGAAACAGTGTGTTTTTATTATATGTATCTCTGTATCTCTATGTATATTATGTACTCTTTTTTTATCAATGTATTTGTACACTTTGTGTGTTTTTCCCGTGTATTAGTGTGCTGTGTATTTTTGTTTGATCCATGCATCTTTGTAGGCTTGTTTTTGTGTGGCTTGTGTGTGTGTGTGCATGTGTTTATCATTGGAGTTAGTAGGAGCATATGGGGGAGAGAACCATAATCTTGCTCTCGTTTTTCCCCAGCCACATCTATATTAGAAACTGTAGATTTGAATTTTGAGTTCTCCCACGAGTATAATTTGATTTATATATCTTTTGTATCTTTTGGTGGTCAATTTTATATCAACATATGAACAAATTATTTATATATATATGTTGATGAAGATGGTGACGCGCCCATGTTTATTGTAGTGATGTAATTCATTTGCTTAGCAATTGTTGATATACAGTTTTTGTCTTGTGTTCGGTGTAATTATTGTCACGGGATAGACCGGTCATTATTCCTTCAGCATCTAGAGTTGGTGTTTTCACGCCAAATTATCAGATTTATTGGGATGCTATGATTTCTTCGTTAATATGTTTTCTTGAGAATAAGACTTGTGTATTACCTTGAGATGCGAGCATCTAGGGCCTTTCCTGCTTGAGGAGTTTCAAGACCAAGGTAAGAACAAGGGGGGTTTGAGCGAGTTTGTTCTGGTCGACCATCCACTTCATCAAGGAGGTGTTATGGGGAGGGTCCCATGGAGATTTAGCCACGGCAAGATCCCCTCGTTCATGCTAAGGAACACATCACCAAGAAGTCCCGACGAGCTACCTTGGGAAAGTCTAGTGATGTTGGGCCTGCTAGCACCTCTCACTTTGTTTGTCTGACACGTAGAACCTGGTCGCGGCGGCCAATTCCATCCCAATACCTCATCCTCCCATGATGGCCCAGCTAAGTGTTCTAAAGGCCACAAAAGAATTCCTGCAAGTCTTACTATGGTAATTGATCATCTTCTTGAAATTGTAATGAAATTTCCTTCCCCAAGCAGTGAGGACGATTGCACAAATTATCCAAGTGCAATGGAGGTTGATAAACCTGCTACCAAGGTAAAGGGTAAATTGAAGGTTGATGAGGCAACGAAGATTGAATCAGACAGTCAATCAGAAAGATCAGCAGGGTTAGCTAAGGTGACTTTTGTCCTCAAGTTATTGAGTGATATTCT